AGCCCTGAGCTAGCGATTCTTTGTAACTTTTCCAAATTTATCTCTGGCTGAGAAAGCTAATTGATAAAAGAAAATTAGATAAAAATCCGAAAGCAAATAATTACCGGGGCAAAGAAAAAAGAAGAATACAAACAACAAATTGTAAATCCCGGTATGATCTCTACTGTTTCTGCAGAAATGTAGGTAAAAATGATCAATAAACTATCAACATTGTCTTGTTTTGTTGGTTGCAACTCAAACAAAATCCACAAAGACAAAGGTTTCAAGTGCGGTTCTACTATTTTCCTTCATCCTAAATGTCTGCTACATATCCTAATGTTACACCTTCGATGGACGTGGGCGTAGCCACACATTAGCTAGAGCGAATATGTTTCTCTATGCATCCGAGTCCGAATCCTCTTCTCCTCCATTGAGATTAGTTTTAAGTGAAATGTCCCTTATATTCCAAAAAACAAAAAAGATTACACCTTTTGACTACATTGTGAAATCTTTCAATCTTTGTCTCAATTTCCTAGTAATTTACACAAAAATTAAACCTACTAAACTCTAGAAAAACCCTAATTAAAAACGAAAAATAGATAATTAAACAAACAAATCAGTGATTTAAGTTTTAACTAATTACAAAAAAAAAAAAAAAATCAATTAGATTAATAAAAATGCAATCTTTTTCTCTGTTCTTTCTCACTTTTCAAATTCTCACCTCGTACTCAAGATCAGACCTTTTATCATCTGCCGCAATGGCCGCCAGCACCGACAACGAACCCGGCCCTTCTCTTTCGGGTCTCTGCTGGACCCTCAAATCCGGTTCTCTGTCCAACTTCTCATCATCAAAATCCTCATCCTCTTCATCAATCTGACTGTCTCTGCCCGACCCGTACCCGTTTGGCAGAATCATCTCGAGCTCCTCGCCGGAATCGAACACCGGATCGGACCCACCATTTTCTTCCGCTTTGTTTTCGAATCCCGCGACCAGGCTGCCCAGCCGCTCCGGGAAAACTCGCTTGGTCTTTTCCGGGAGCTTGAGCTTGCCTTTGAGCATGGCAGCAGCCGAGTTCACACCGAGTCGGTGCGAGTGAGGGAGCGAGTTGGGTTTGTGGGTTAGTTGGCGATTGCACTGGAATCGGTGAGAGTGGAGCGAGAGAGAGGGTTTTTTTTTTGGGGGGGGGGGGGGAGGTGGGAGGGGGTCACGAGTGACGAGTTGTATTGGACTCGGTGCTGACTCAGTTTGGCGGTTTTTCGAAAGAATGGTAGTTTACCGTTGATTGGTAGGTTGGCCCACGTTTCCTTGTAGGACCCAAAACGCTTTCTTCTGTTTTCTTATCCAATAATCCTCTGCCACGTCATGTGATATGATAGACAGTTTGGGCTATTTGATTAAGATTCGAGAGCCCAAATGGGCCCAAATTTCTATGTCCAAATTTTCTTAGGCCCAAAAGTACTTATCATGAATTATACACTTAACACAACTTTGTTTTTAGGAACTAGAAAGTTTAGGCTATGGTTCTTTTAGTTCGTTTAACTATCAAGTTAACTAAAATATTTTTTTTTCCCGTAACAAATGAGATTTTTTTTTTTGTGTTTATACAAATGTTGAATTAATGTCATGTGGGTAATTTTTCTAGTGTGATATTATAGATGTAAGGTTAAAAAATCGGCTGAAATGATCCGTTTCTAATTTTTAGTTGTTGGAATGATTATTTTTTCAGTATTGATTTCTATGTCGTCACTATTCAATCAATGTATCGTCAGTGTTTGACTGTTGTATAGTCAATATTTGAGTAATCCAACAGTTGAAATTTGTCAAATAATTATTTTAGGCAATGTCCCCTACAATTTACTTTCACATTCGCCATTTGTAGACACGTATGAGTACATTGAAGTTCTTGTTCCCACCAGTTCTTTCTGATATTGGATGTGACATGAGATGAAGAAAATACATCTAACAATGTTTGCGTACCATTGAAGAAAGAAGTAATGTTAGAGAAAACAAAATCAATTTGAAAGATATTTGGTGCAGTACTTGCTTAACAAGAAAGCAAAAAGAAAAGTCTGTGGGACTCTAAAACAGTGTAATTTGCTTACCATTCATGAATTTGGATCTTTTTTGGACCTTCCGGAGCTTAATGATTAGGAAATCTGAGCCGTTCATTTGTGTTAAAGAGAAAATGGAACGTTTAATTTATGTGAGGTGAGTTAGTGAAATGAATTATTAGGATTGTCATATTCAATTTAAATGGTCCAGATTGCCTGATTCTTGAACTCGGGACAATGAATTCCAAAGTGAATCTCTGACCACCAATCGGTCGCTTAAATTAACTATATGTAAGTAATAAATTAAGTGTGAAAAGTTGATGTTAGTCGTGCATGGTTAATAATTCGTTACAAAATGTGGTTAGTGTGAAAAGTTGATATTAGTCGTGCATGGTTGACAATTCGTTTTCAAAATGTGGTGAGAGCCCAGCTGGGGGACCATATGCGTATAGAAAACAAAGACAGCTTCAAAGATGAAAAGAAATTTGAGCAAAGAAATATTTATGACCAAACCAACTACGTACTGTGTCGCCTTTATTATGTGAAGTCTCCATCGATGACCTTCAAGCTTTGTTCTTGTGAGGATGTAGGAGCACCAACGAGCACTGTATTATAATAATAATCTCATAATTTTCCTATACCCTTGGAATTTTATGATTGTTTGCAACCTTTACGTAAGAAATTGAGAAATAAACTGTCAAAACAGTTACTATTACAAATTTACACGCATGCATGCATGTCACGTATTTTGGAAGTTTAGAAACTAACATATATTACTTGAAAAACAATGTACACGTGTAATAGTTCTAGTCGTGCAAGAATATGAGGACAAAGTCTCAATTGGTAAGAGACCAAACTATGTAAGGGCGTATAAAGAGTTGAGCTACTTTCTAAATTACAAATTGATTTAATAGTGGAACCTCAATGTTCTTCATGGTATTAGAGTAGTAAGTTGGCTCACATGTGAAGCCCAATGGCTACACATACTCCACGTCATCTAATGTATGTTGTTCATGTATTAGGCTTTAAAATTTGTCATTTGTGAGGGACGTGTGAAAATGTGGGACAAAGCCCCAGATCAGTGAGAGACCAAAATATGCAAGAATTTAAGAAGTTGAGCTACTCCTTGTATTATCAAAGTTTTATGGTGAAATCTCAACTTTTTTAAGCATAATACTTTCACCACGTAACGATATTCCAAAGGCACCAAAAATCTTTTATGATGTAAGAGTTTTGCATTGGATGGCCCTTCGACGCATAGAATAGTCAAAAGTTCATATGACATGGAGACATGTCTAAGTTGATTCTTACACTAATTATACAAAAACATAGATGATGTTTCTTTCTTAATCACTGCGACATAAATGTTTGATGGATAACTAATCATGTTAACTAAAACTGCTGTTTTGAGAAATATTAACCAACATAAGTAGAAAATGACGTTAATGCAACAAACCAACAGAGTTAAATTTAATTACCATGATAATATTGAAAAGAATAGCAGAAAATTACAAAACCGACATATGCACCCTAGAAATGCCTTAATTTCATGTTTTTCTTGTGTAAGGGAAAAGGAAGGCAGCACGAAGAACTGATCGTAAAAAAGATGGTGTACATACTTAATTAATAATTAGATAAATTAAGGCTTTGATTATAATAATTTTATTATTTTATTTTATTTGTCTCTTTTTTTTTTTTTTTTTGTTTTTAGTTTTTGTGATTGGGACACAAAACGATAGAATAAATGAATAATAAAAGAAATGTACGAGGAAAGGGACAAAAATAAAAATTTTAAAATAAAAAACTAATTTAAGATGTCTGTGCTTTCAAGTTTTTGTTGACATTGACGTTCAACGTATTCTTCCCCTTCCTTCTACATGTACCGCTCATTTTCATGAAACATTTTCCTCATATATTTTTCTCATGTCCAAAAAACTAAAATAAAACCTAAAAACATAATAACCATTAATGGACCCTTAATTTCCAAAAAAAAAAATTAATTATGATACAAGCCAGAATATGCACTCTGAGAAACAAATAGAACATAATAATCAATGATGATACATTAGTTACATACATAGAACATGGAAATGCTGCGCTAGTCAGAATTTAAAACAAGAACCAACTAAAGGTATGCAGAGAGTCGTAGATAATCAGAGTTTATTTTAATAGAAGCAATATTATTAATCTAAACTAGTGCATTGGGAAAATGGAGGAATTGAACTCATGTTGCGATTGGTTAAACAAAAATGCCCTATTTATTAGGACAATTCACCACCTACGACTAATCAAAATTTTAAAGTAACTTTTTTACAATTATTTATTCATGTGAGAAAGACATAATTCCAAAGAGAATATAAAACTAAACAACTGAATTACCAAGAAATTAATCAATTTCTTGATCAGTAACAGAAATTGATGCTGATCTTTTATATTGTCTGTTTAGCACATGAATGTTCCAAACCCTTTATACAGTTGATAAATAAAAGGATTTTTTTTTTTAAATGTCAGATGAACTTATACATATTTTTTTATTTTCATAAGACTAAAATTTAAGCAATATGTTATTCCAATTTTTTAAAATTATTAATTTTTCATCTCACTCTAACTTTGTTAAGTTTACATCCAAAATAAATCATGTGCTTTGCATATAATTGTGTTCGGGGTCATTTCGGACATTTCCACACAAAGAACATCAAACAACTTTACCATAGAAGCTCGTGTAGGTCGTTCCTTTTTTTATATTTTGAGTCATCTCACTTCGAAACACGGAGAGGCGAGTGCAGGTTGTTCATCTTTTTATATTTTGTGAGAAACTCTAGAATTATTTTTGTCGAAGACAATTTATTTGAAGGCGAGTGAGATATTAAAATGTCCAAAATAATCTTGAACACAAACAACTTAACATAGTTAAGGTGAAATAACAAATTAAAGATTTCTGAATATTGGTCTGACAAATAGTATTATATGACAAATTAAAAAGGGTATTACATGCAATTGGACACTGTAATGGGTTACAATTATTACACTCACCCTTTCAACCACCATATAACCAAATATATATTATTTATCATCAGACTTTGCTTCACCTATGTACGTACATAGATTATTGATATCGGTAATATACAACACTAAATATTTCTTAATTTTTACCAAATACATAAATAGTTAGTAGTACTACAAATAAATTCTTTCCTCCCCTTGTTGAATGCCAAATGATAAATCCGAACTTGCACAATTTCCGTTAAGCAGCTCTTCTATCATCTGCAACGCAATTTTCTCTTCTTCATCCATCTCCGCCATAAGTTGGGGGGGCCTCTCTGATGATGTTTCAATCGAAGCAGATTGATCTGAATTCGACATAAATTGTGATGACAGAACACTCTGATCATCAGCATTATTAGTATCAACAGTACTATTATTCTTCTTCTTGCCAAGTGGAACAGTCATGACCCAATTGGAGTTATCAGAGCGTTGACCTGCACGTTTTTGCCATACTCCTATATGAGAGCTCTCATTGTCGAGCCTCAAGCAGGTCATGGATGGAGATGGTATCTTGCCGCATTTCCTTAGCTTGGCATGCAAGATTTCCGACAGACCCTTCTGTTCGGATCGTGAATCCAAGTCGCCGCTACTAGTTTTTGGGTGATCTGATGATCCTACTGTGGTACGGGTACCATTACTCTGAGTTGTAGAAGTTATTATTGGGAAATTGGTCTTGGCATTTCGTCCGCTCATCAAAACGGAAGCTTCATCGTATGCTCGGGCTGCTTCTTCAGCTGTCTCAAACGTGCCTAGCCACACCCTTCTCTTCCTGCATAGTCACCATAATCACCGCACGTACGTACGTATTATACAAGATACATATACATATACATATATATATATATATAGAGAGAGAGAGAGAGAGAGAGTTGAGAAGAAAAAACCTAAATAATGGTGTATATATGTTGGTGAGGGTTGCTTACAGTAAGGGGTGGCGGATTTCTGAGACCCAAGAGCCCCAGTGGCGCTGCCTGACGCCTCTGTACTTTTTCGATTTCACCATTTTGTTTGTTTGTCTAACTCTGAGAGAGACAGAGAAGAATGAAGGGACGATAAATTGAGAGTTCAGAGAAGTGCAGAGAAGGTAACAGATGGAAATTTGAGGCTACATGTGGTGATAGATAGGTGGATATAAAAAGACAGAGAAGGAGAGACTATATGCAACACTGTCGGCGGACTAGCCTTACAATATATGTACGAACTGCTGACTGCAGTGCTCTTTGTAATTAATTTTATCAACTACAACCTCCCATAATACAGTAACCTCTCATAAATATTCAGTTCCCTACTGACTTGTCTCCCGGCTCTCTCTCTCTCTCCCCCTCTCCCTCTCTCTCTCTCTCTCCCTCTCTCTCCCAAGACTAAGAAGACTTGCACATTGACATTTTTTGCATGGAGTGAGTATTTGAATTATTTTGATATTGATTTTGTGCGTATGCTAAAAGAGAAACTAAATTTGTAAATAAAATTTTGTAAACTAAATAACATGGAAGTTGATGATTGGATTATTGATACTTAAGCATTGATAAACTTGTTTATTCTTATTGATGACACATCATTTAGTTTGCAAATTTTATCTACAAATTTAGTTTCTCTAGCATTAGCCTATACTAAAATATGGATATCAGAATTATATCAATTCTTGACTTTTTACCTAAAAAATTAAGAATCACAGAGCTAGTTGATCACACATCTCCTTTCCTAATTGACAACTTATCTCGTTTTAATTAAGTAAATGCCAATAATTAAGCTAAGTATGGTTTTTGTTATAATAGACTTATAAATAATTCAGAATCTTGTCTATAATCGTAGCATGAAATATAAGAATGTAATTTTCAATTATAATTAGCATAGGATTCCTACCTCAATAAAGATTAATATAACCCTACATATATTTTAATATTTTTCACACATTAATACAACGACTCACAATTCAACACATTCTTCAAGTTTTCTCTTAGGTCCAAGGGTTTGCCTTCTTTCCCTGCCGTCCAATAAAAAATAAAAAATAACTTCAACCCAAGCTACAAATTGCCGTCCACCATTGGCCCTCATGGGGTCATCTTCTTCCTCTCTCCCTGGCCAAAACACTGCTACTTTTATTAAATTTTCTACTACAAATTATATTCTTTGAATTCATCAGCTCAAAGCTTTTTTTGTACAAATTTAAATATACACACAAAATATTTATTTCCACGTTTGTAGACTGGAAAATGGATTGAAGGACTGGACGTGAATTAATAAGGGTGCTTTAAATTTTGGCCCTTACAACTCATTATTTCTAAATAAAAATCTATCTATCTTTAAAGATCTAGTTTAAGTCCAAATTTAAAATTTGCAACTATATGGGAACACTATTGACCTATTAATACAATTTATTTACACTCATGCCACCCATACTTTATGGTCCATTTTCCAAATTCTTAAATTTATGCCAAATTAAAAGTAGTAGAAAAAGTGAAATAAAATGTAAAAAGTGTTTGCATAACCGTATCCATGTCAAACTAGAAACGTAGTTTTTTTTTTTGTGATATATTTTGTAGCAATTTTACCCATATTAATTGGTAGATAAATTAGTTTGTTCCAATTATTTAAAAAAAACACTACACCTATATTATATATTTTGAATTAAATAACATTCCTCTAACTTGTAGGTAAATTATTTTCTATGTATTGTTATATATGTTAGACACGTTTTGTTGTTGTATAAATATGAGTGGAACATAATATTGTTGATTTTATACATCAAACTACATTTCTTTTGTTATAGGTAAATTATTTTCCATGTACAAGTACTTATGTTAGGCACGTTTTGTTGTTGGTACATACAATATTTTGTATCATTGTAAAGAAAGATATTACATTACACCCATGGTATACTTGTTGCAGGTAAATTATTGGAAATTAATTTGTAGTTAGGTAATGAACATTTTGCATCACTAGAAATGAACATTTCAAATAGTAGGTAGGTAAATTAATTTTTTCTAATTATATAAAAAAATTACACTACACCTAGTTATATTTATTTTTTCCAATTATTAAAAAAATTTATACTACACCCAACCAAATAACATTTATCTAAATTGTAGATAATTTATTTTCCATGTATTGTTTGATATGTTAGGCACGTTTTATTGTTGTATAAACATGGGTGTAACATAGTATTTTTAATACTATGCATCGAACTACATTTCTTCTTAATATAGGTAAATTATTTTCCATGTATTAGTACATATGTTAGGCACGTTTTGTTGTTGGTATAAACATTATTTTGCATCATTGTAAAAAAGAGATATTATATTACACCCATGGTATAATTGTTGTAGGTAAATTAATGTGCATGTAGATAATGAAATTCAATGTTCTAATATATTAATAAAAAAAGGATAAATTCAAAAGTATTCAAGAGTAGGGTGAAAAAAATTGAATCGAATAGTTTTATGAAAATTCAAAGCCTTTCTAAAAAATTAATAAGCAATAAATTTTTAACATTAATGTCTTTTTTTTTCTTGTTGCAAAATCATTTACACTCTCCTTACAATTAATTGTCTACATCAAATATGTAATAGGGGGTATTTTAGGCATATGAAAAATGTAAAATGTGTGAAGTAATATGAAATTAATGAATTTGCTTATGTGGATCCTAGTCATTGAGTTTTCTTTAAGTAAAAAAGTTATGTAGGGTTTTATATGAAGAAAATTGAGTTGGAATGACTAAAATCAAATTTTTAGTAAATAATAAGAAAGACATAGACGGATCAGTGAACAGTGATGAACTTTCATTCAACAATAAAAAAAAGTCTCACTTTACTACCCTCAAGTTTTGTGGTTTTCAACGTTTAGTACATGAAGTTTTTTTAGTTCCACAGTCATACCTAAAGTGTTAATTTTAGGACCGTTTCATACATCCGTTAGTCTTACTGTTAAATCTCTTATTAACTGATGATGTGACGTTCATATAGAAAATGACTAGACTCTACATGTTATTAAAAAAAATTAATTTAAAAAAAAAAAAAAACAGACACGCACACACCCAGAACCCCTTGGTCTTCACCACCCTCCACCCCCTTCATCCCCTCCACCCCCTTCTCCCATCCCCCATCACCCACTCCTTGCCCACCCGAGCCACCCCGAACGTCTCCAAAGAGATCCAGGAAATCCGAATTGACGACTTCCAGACAACCCATCGCAGCCCGACCCGAAACCCATCAACCACCAGAGCCACCCTGACCCGGTTGCTAACTCGGACTCCGCCAGAGCCCAGCCCTTGGTTCTCAAGCAGGACGATCACCACGACAGCCTGGCTAGGAGCGGCGGTCGACAGAGAATTCACATTGAGATTGGCGAGGACCACCAGATTTCGTACTCGAAGAAGTGCGGCGGTGGTGGGTCGTCGCATGGCAGCGGGGAGGCTCGGTCTGGGGACCAGGGATGATCGCCGCGCCGGAGGTTTCGCATTTGGGGTGGGGACATTGGTACACTCTCAGAGAGCTTAAAGATTCCACTAATGGGTTTGCTGACGAGATTGTGATTGGTGAAGGCGGCTATGGGATTGTTTACCGCGGAGGAGGGGTGGCTCGGGTGGGCAAGGAGTGGGTGACGGGGGATGGAGGGGTGGAGCCTCGGAGGGGGTGGAGGGTAGAGGAAGACGAAGGGGTTTTGGGTGTGTGCTCGTGTTTTTTTTTAATAATTAATTTTTTTTTTAAATTAATGACACATGGCGTTTATAGACGTCACGTTATCAATTAATAGGAGAATTAACAGTAAGACTAACGGATGTATGAGACTGTCTTAAAATTAACACTTTATGTATGATTTTGGAACGTAAAAAAACTTTATATACTAAATGTTAAAAATCATGAAACTTCAAGATATTAAACTGAGATTTACCCATAAAAGACAGGTGGATGGATGTGTTTTGAAAAAAATGATGGGAAAATGAACTTTCAACAACACTCCATCTGCCAAATCTGCATATCAAACAAAAATGGATATCGATGCTATATATTAAATAACTTGTGCCCTCGATCTGCCTGTCTGTTGCGCTATATGTTGACTATGTAACTGGTTACACTGATGGGGCTGGTATTTTCATAATTGTATCCTTGTACGTAGTAAGTTGTGTCTTAATTACGAGTAATGCTAGAAAGATTAAATTTATAGAAAAATTTTGATTAATTAAATAATATAAAAGTTGATATTTGAATAATTACATAAGCGTTTATAAATTTGTCTATTTTCTATTAGTGACACATCATTTAGTTTATAAATTTTGTATACAAATTTAATCTCTCTAGTATTACCCTTAAATTATCTATGTTCGAATGCGAAGTTTAGAGAGGTTCACAGGATCATACAAGATGCATACAGGATCATACATGTTGATTATTTAAAGCATATATATCCCTTAAGGTTTTACTCGAAACTCTATTCTTTTTAAAAGTACAAATTTTCTGGGACCCTTGAAGTCGAAGGTTGGGCCTTTGAGGCTCTGCCCTCTAGTGGCTTTGTTTTCAACGGCAGTGTCTTCATGAAGAAGTCGACCACGAAGAAAAAAAGAAGATATATATACTTTTAAAAAGATTTGGCTTAAAACGACGCTGTTTTGGAAGTCTTTAATTTAAAAAAATGACTAGATTATGTCGTTTTGGCTAAGTTTAATCCAAAACGAGGTGCTTTAGGCCAAGTTTAATATTTTTTGTAATCACCAACTAGTCCTCAACTTTACATCCAAAGGACTGCTTTAGATATATATATATATATATATATATATATATATATATATATATATATATATATATATATAATTCATATGCCTCAAGACTTTTCCCTAAGCAAAACCATCCATAAGACGCCTCCCCTGCACCTTTCAAAACATTGGTACAATATACCGTATCTCACAATCCATCTCTTAAAAAAGTATTTATGAAGTCTCGACCGGATGATAACTGGCCCTTTTTCTGTGGAGTGTGGTACTGCAACCGGTGCCGACTGCCGGACGCACAAGTTTAGTGCCCAGCAATAGAGGGCATGACCAAATGGTCCAAACTCCAGACGATGGAGCGGTACGGAATTGAGGTGGATGTAAGATAAAATTATGTAAACACAT